GAGGGGTGTTTTGGGGAGGGGTGTTTTGGGGAGGGCATAAAGAGCGCAAGCTCGACGGCCCGCTGACGCCATTTCTTAATGTAACATTCAGAGTATACATTCAAAAACAAGAAGAAAGATTTGAGTCTATGAAGACACAATTATGTCACAGATATTTGAACTAAAATTTGTAGTCCAAAAATCGACACACTTTTTTTGTCCCAGTCAAATGTACAGGATGTGGTCATAATAAGATGGTCCGTACACCGGAGGTTAATGGATCTGGAGGAAAGCTAATCATTAGATTTTAAAATTTAAAGTTTAGGTAATGGGTGTTATTTAAGATTTATTTAATTGGTTTAACTCATTTTATTAGAGGTTGAGGGAACTGATAGGGGATATTGGGGGGGAGGGAGGTAGGGAGGGGGTGATTAAAATGAGATGAGATATATGATTGGAGGAGATGTAGTGGTTGGCAGAGAGATGCAGGGGTTGGCAAAGAGAAGTAGTGGTATTGGTAACGACATGTGATGGTATTGGTAAAGACATGTGATGGTATTGATAAAGACATGTGATGGTATTGGTAAAGACATGTGATGGTATTGATAAAGACATGTGATGGTATTGGTAAAGACATGTGATGGTATTGGTAAAGACATGTGATGGTATTGGTAAAGACATGTGATGGTACCCCCGCACCCCCCCCGCCCCGCGCACCCCCACCACCCCGCGCACCCCCACCACCCCGAGCACCCCCACCACCCCGGGCACCCCCACCACCCCGGGCACTTTTGAAATAAAACTTGAAAAAAATCACAAACAGAGATGACTCTTATCTTTAATTGAAAAAAGTTTTTTTAAAAAAAACATCTTATTGGTCATGTCACGTTATTGATAGGAGAAGATAACCGCTTTAGTGAATTTGTGTACAGTTCTCTTACATTAATGCTTTCATTAAAATAATTGCTGGTAAACATTTGGTTTATGGTTTCTCATTCTCTCTCTCTCCCCTCTCTACCTCCCTCTGTCTCCACCTCCCTCTCCCTTTCTCACTCTCTCCCCCCTCTCTCTCCCTCTCTCTCTGTCCCTCTTCTATCACTCTTCCTCTCTCTACCTCTCTCTCCTCTCTCTAACTCCCTCTGACTCCCCCTCCCTGTCTCTCACCCCTCTCTTTCCTTCTCCCCTCTCTCTTTCTCACTCTCTCTCCACTCTCTCTCCCTCTTCTATCACTCTCCCTCTCTCTCTACCTCTCTCTACCTCTCTCTCTCTTTTGCGTCTGTTTGTGTGTATATATATCTATATATATATATATATATATA